TAATCAAGTCGAAATTAGAAAAAACCTTGTGTGTAAACACGTTACGAAATGCCGTTTTGTGTAAGTCGTTCATGTTGTGGGACCTCGCTCCGCTCGTCCCGCAAATATTTACTCGTTACACAAAATAAAGCATTTCGTAACTGGTTACATAAATACCTATTAATTGACTTCCTAATATTTTAATTCATTGAACGGTATTTTCTGGAAATAATTAAATCATAAATAATTACCGGCATATAAGTACCAAAACATTTTTTCTCTTCGAAGACTAGGCTTATGTCAAATAAACTTAAAATATTATAACAAACGAAAAGGTAACACATTTCTAATAAAATTTAATTATTTATTTTATTTTGGTGTGATCGTAGAAAAAATCTTGTGTGTAATTCGAGCAAAAAGTACTTTGGCTGTTTCGATAAATTTTTGTCTCAACAGCTATTTTGTTGCAATAATTTTATAAACTTTTACTTAGGGTAGATTTCACCGTTTTGTTAAACGAAGTTTAAAATACTAAACGAAGATTAAAATGACATTTTTATATTAACAAAAACGAAGTTTAAATTATTAAATGGAGTTTAAAATGACATTTTTACATTAACAATGTCATTTTAATCTTCGTTTAATAATTTAAACTTCGTTTGACATAACGGTGGAATTGGCCCTTAGCTAGTTATATATTGATAAAGTGTTATTGCCCTCATCATACATGAATCGTGCTAACAAATAAAGTCAAAAAAACGTCTCATAATTTTTCATCTTTTAGTTACCCACCAAAATTAGGTACTACAATACAAATATTTAAGTCCGGCCCAGAACATCTCCCTACTCCTTCCACCAAGTTTTTCGGTTTTGGCAAAATTCGCGCAGCAACAAATGCTTCCTATGTTACCTCTACCCTTTCTAACCTCTTTGGTCCTAACTAAAGAGAAGTATAGCATTTTAATTGTGTTTATATTAGTGAAGTCTTGAGTTGTCCTCTTTACAAAGCCCAGCATTTTCATTGATTTTTGAACTGTAGCAGAGATATGACCATTAAAGCTCATGGAAGAGTCAAAGGTGATCCCTAGATCCTTGATTTGATCGACAGGGTCCAAAACATGTTGAAATAAACTATAATTATAAGTTATTAAATTATGGCTGCGACAAAATCGGATAATGTGACATTTGTTAGTATTTAGATCCATGCCATTACTAGAGCACCAACTTTCTAGTTTATTTAAATCCAACTGCGAAATCTGAGTGTCGGCATAGTCATGAATGATCTTGAAGCATTTCAAGTCATCTGCAAACAATAGGGCTTTAGTGTTAGGAAAGCAAGTTATGATGTCATTAATAAACAGGTTGAATAGTAGCGGTCCTAAGTGAGACCCTTGAGGAACACCCGAAGTAACTGGGAAAATTTGGGAATAATGATGATTTACTCGAACCTGTTGAGTCCTATTTGTTAGATAACTAGCGAGCCATTGTAAGACAATCCCATCAATACCATATAAATTTAGCTTATGAACGAGAAGATCATGGTTCACCTTGTCAAAGGCCTTGGAAAAGTCTGTATATACAGAATCTACCTGTAGACCCTTCTCTAAAGCTTCAGACAGAAAGTTAGCATATGTTAATAAGCTTAGTTCAGCAGATTTGCCTGGCGAAAAACCAAATTGTTGGGAATTTAAGATATTAGAGCAGTCGTGAGTTAGAAAATCAGTTATTATACTTTCAAAGATTTTTGGGATTGTGCTTAGGATGGAAATGGGGCGATAATTTATTACATTAGATTTGTTACCCGATTTGTAAATGGGAGTAACATAAGAGAGTTTCCAAAAGTCAGGAAATTCACCTGTGCTCAGTGATTTGTTAAAGATATGAAAAAGTGGCCTAGATAATGCAAAATTAAATGTTTTGAGAAAAATGGGTGGAATTCCATCGGGACCTGACCCTTTATTAGTGTCAAGAGTTGACAGCTTAACATAGATCTTGGAAATTTGGATAAAATAAGAAGATACACATGTTGCAGATTGGATTTCACTTCCATTTAAATTTAGCGTTTGGTTCGTGTATACAGAAGAAAAGTGACTAGCAAATAGATTGGCAATGTCATTACCGCAGGAAGCCACTGTATCGTTTAATGTCATCGAGTCAGGTAAAGAATTATTTTCTCTCTTATTTTTTACAAATCTCCAGAACGCTTTAACATTTTTTACAACTGAATTCTCAGTACGGCTTACATAACTAGCATAACACTCTTTTGATAACATTTTGCATTGAGCTCTGAGTTGACTGAAATAATTATTATTCTCTATAATGTTGGTCTTATCCAAATTTTTTCTAAAATAGTCCGTATTCGAGAAATTTTACAAAATGTAAAAAAATTAAATTTTTAAGAAAATTGTTTAAATAAAAGTTGTGTTATATTATTTTCTAAAATTCTTTTTTTATACATAATTTCTGTAAAATGGACCGTATTCGAGATATTTGAGACAATGTGTAAACTTCAAATTTTGAAGAAAACTCAAAAACAGATAAAGAGAAGGACCAAATTATAAAATTATTCTTTATTCTGGCCTGCGGTGAACTGGTCAAATTTTTGGCAGAGTCGGAATGTCTGGGGAGGGAGAATTTTATAGGGGGTCGTTTGTATATTTTATGAAATATATCTGTTATTTACGTTTGGAGAAGTTTTTACTCCAAATATTATTCTCTATAGTTTTTGCACCATACAAAATTTTCCTAAAATGGTCCGTATTCGAGAAATTTGACAAAATGTGCCAAATTATGATTTTTAAGAAGATTGTTAAACTAAAAGTTGTTTGCGATATCGATCTCTATAATTTTTGTTTTATACATGATTTTTCGATAATGGACCGTAATGGAAAAATTGGAGAAGTGTAAAATTTAAATTTTTCCGTATTTTGGCAATAAACAATATAAAAAAACGGTTTGAGTTAGAAGTATGTGGAAAATGTATATATTTAGTTTATCTTCTAAACATTTACAGATGTGTTACAATAAGTTGTACAAAATAACCGGAATACGCCTATAATAACTAGATAGGAAAGTCATGTGTTGGACACATCAGATTTTTGAATTAAACGACATTTGAAAATTAGTTCGTTACAATGATTTATTGTGTTGCATATCATTGTAAAAGTCGTAGCGACAAAAAAGAGCCAGATATTACATTTCACAGGTAAATCGTTTATACTTTATATATTTTCTTATATTTTTCATTTTGTTTGGTTATTATTCAACTTGGTGTTTATATATGGTATAAGGTGGTGCAAAGTAAAGTTCCCTATTTGTTTTTTATATAAAAGTAAGATTAATTAAAAAACAGTCATATTGTAAATGAAAAATATTTATTTAAACTCTAAAAATTTGTTTTGTTGCACACTAAAAACAATATCGACCAAATGGCCACCCCACAGAAAAACTCGAACAGATGTCAACTACAAACGAAACCATGACAACATTCCATAGGGTACTTGATTTTGCGCCACCTTATACATGTCTCACTCCAGAGTAATAAATGTTACCTGCCAAGTTTTTTTATGCTTTTCATTAATTTTTATTTAATTAATGATATTAAAATTGCCAAAATAGTTCTAAATATTAACTTTTATCGAATACTATTTACTGATGAATTACTTTGCATAATAACGGATTTGTAAATAGACATAATTTTTAAAACATAAATTTCGAACTGTAGATCGACAAAACCGATGGTCGTTAAACGTTTATAGTGGAATGATAGAAAGACAGTTTGTGAGGCCCTAATTTTTTGATGGCCATTTAAATGAAAGAATTTTTTTTAAATGTTTGTAGGAAGATTCCTGGAAACTTCTTTTGGATATTAGACGAAAAGTGTTGCTGCAGGTAGATGGATGCTCTAGCCCATTTTTTGCATAATGGTAGGACGTATTTAAACCAAAAATTTCCTGAAAAATAGATAGGAAGAAGAGGCCTTACTAATTGCTCCCCTAGAACACCCGAATAACCCCTTTAGTTTTTTCTTTTGGGGATATGTTAAAAATGTTGCTTATCAAACTCAGCCGACCACCGCCTAAGATATGCAAACACGCACTTGTGATGTGTTTGCTATTATTAATTAAGAGATTTTAAGTAATGTAGTAAATAATTTTGAAAAGCGAATCAGAATATTCATTGACAATAATAATGGACATCATTTTGAACATTTATTGTAAATTTTAAATGTTCTGAAAAGTGTTGGAATAAATATGTTTATTTAATAGCATTGTTAAAATAAAACTATTAGTAAATAGATGTTTAAAATTTATTGATTCACAGAAACTATTGATAATAGTTTTAAAAATAATAGATATGGGTATAAGGAACCTTAGAGAACTTTTAACGTAACATTTCTTCAAATTGGTACCATATACATATACATATACATACATATACATATACATATACAGGGTGATCTATTTAAATTACCGCAGAAATTAAATAAAACCTTTTACTGCAATAAAACTTTAAATTGCAAACACCCCGTACAATTTTTCAGTAATTTAATGATTCTGACAGAAAGTTACACCATTTTGTAAGGAACTGCCAAAAATTTGTTATTTAATTATTTTGTAATCAAGAGTAATTAATTAATTTCGACAGGACTACATTTTCAAAAAATGTCAAATATATCGGTAATTATCAAAGATGGGAATAGAAAATCTTTATTGAATTAAGATTATATTTAAGAGTAGAACTAGAAATTAAAAGAAAATATAACTTTATATTGGTATTCTGTTTTGGGACACCCTGTATATATAAAACTATTTTTAATTTGTGGCCGACGTTCAGTTGTATATTTGTACTACAGGAATTTTTATTATCGTTTTTAGTTTACCCACCAAGTTCCGTCCCGTTGACCGTGATGCACCTTGTATATATATTTTTCTTGTGTATTATTTATTGTTCCTAATTTATTTTAATTTTAACGCTTTGGTCTTGCTTTATACAAAAAAAGATCCGTAAAGTACTAATAACATAAACAAAAGTTCATTGTTTTATTTCCAACATGTTACGCCTCTGGTCAACTAGCATTGGTGTCAGAATGGAACACAATTTCCTGCGATGTTACGAGCGTCCTCTCTTTATACCTAGTCTAAGCTGATAACAATCCAAAACTCTTTGTCAAAGTGACATTTAAAAAATGTCAAGAAGTTCTGCAAAAACAAGAAGTGACGGTGATGCTGATTCTCCTTATACAGATATTACTGCGAACGCTTGCTCCTCCTCATATCGAAGTAAAAAAGGTAGGCACTCACATAGGTACTCATGTTTTTTAAAATCCTCAAAATCTAACACTGTACCGTTTTTCTAGATTTAGAAGGTGGACCATACGGAGATATACCGCCCGATTCGAATAGACAAGGTATTTACAAAGACTACGTCGTATTTATGTTACAAGACAACGAATGCTCCACGGAAACATCAGATTATAGCGACAATGACGAGAAAGAATTGTACAGTTTAAGAAACGAATATTTGCAAAAGTTGAACATTGTTAGAAAGAGGTTGAACTTAGCGGAAATATCAGACGATGGTGATAAATATTTTGCAAGGAAATGTACCATTACAGAAATAATCGAAGAAGATGGTCAGAATGTACCTGCAAGGTTAGATTTACATTTAACTTACCCAGTCATAAAATATTCAGATTCAATTGGAAATATCCCCTCGACTTGTTCCATTTTTGAAAGAAACTATTCAATGCAAAATTACAGTTTTTATTTAAATTTATATATTTATCAAACACCAGAACAAAGGACTGTGTACATATCTAAGAATATACTTTATCTTATCTCGAAATTTAACAAATCTACTGCCTACTGCTATAGCTAATGGGCATTCCCAATCCTGGAGTTACCTTAAAAATTCTAATGTACAACAATTAAGTCTACTTTAAAACGGAAAAAGGAAAATTATGTTTTTATCATATTTAGGAGTAAATATGTATACATTTTAGCCCGAGATATGTATATTTTGGTTTGTTAAACTTCTGTAGTCGTTAAAGCAGATATTTTTATTTCAAAGCATTAACAAAAACTTTAAAATTTATTAAAACTCTTATAAATAATTGTTATACTTTTTTCAGTGAAAATAATTCCAAAAAAACAGAAACAAAAAAACCTGACATTAGCTGCTTTCAGAATCACTTAGAATCCGAAAAACGCATCATTTCAAAAACAGCAGACAAAATACCGCAACAACCTGATACTGATCCTAATTCCAATTGTTCACCACAAAAGCAAGAATCAAGGCAGACTTCGAGACAATCTTCGTCAAGACGAACTTCTTCGAGCAGCGTTGAAATTCAAACCCTACATCCTTTCTCCATATGTTACAACAAAATAGACGCAGACTCACTGTCTAATTTATTAGAATTAGAATATAATCCACCAAAAAAAAAGTCCTGCTTCAGATTACATACACCTAAACTGCCATCTGCTTCAGAAAGTAACATACCTTATCACACCAAAGTC